TCCATCCTTGACCTCTCAATCTCCTCATCTTCAAGTGCTTGACTTTCACTTCAAGGACAGCATGGAGGTCTTGCTTTCCTATAGTTTATTGACTGACTTACAGAGGAGCCTCAAATCACTATTGTATAAATATGAAAAGCTTGCTAGAAGGCCACTGTGACTCCTTTGTACACATCAGGCATCCATGTTGCTTCCATTTGCAGTATCTTATACAAGTTCCTCTTATTGGCCAAGTCCAGCTCAGAACTATCTAAGGAAGGGAATTCTGGAGAATGTAATTCCATCCTCAGAAGGGAGCTTTAATGCAGCCCAGTTCAGTACAGACAGCCTGGCATGAGAGGGGTGGGATAAGGATTTAATGAATTAATGCACATAAAGGATTGTGTGGAACACTGAGCACTCTGCATGAATAGAAAACGTGGAAGAGACATGGCTCTCATGAAACAAAAGTAGAAATATTACAAGGAGAGAGCAAGCTGAGATTAAAAGATAGTAAAATGAGATGAATACAAGCTAAGGGCGAAAATGAACATGGTAAGATGAGGAAAAATTCAAAAAGATTTTGTTGGAATTCAAATCTTCATTGGAGGCAGCAAAGAACAGATTTGACATGAGAAAAACATGAAATGAAGGCTACATTAGACAGAAATGTCTAGATTTAGTGACAGGAATCTATCTCAAGTTAGTTCAAGAGGAAAAAGAATGTATTAGTTTATATGATTGGAAAATTCAAGCTACAGCTGATATAACTGGACATAGAGGCTTCACAGTGTTACCGGAGCTCTTCTCTTCCTATCTCTGGTCTCTGGGCTGAGTATGACACTTTCAGACAGACTCTCTGTGTGGGCTCAAGGCACAGCTTGTATTCCAAACTTAAATCATCCTTACGGCAGCTGATCCCAGAGAAAAAGAGACCAGCATTTTGTCCTCCAGCTCAGATCCTTTGCATGTCTCTTGCCTTGCTTGGGTTGTGTCTGCCCTTTCATTAGTCATGGTTTCCAAATGGATGGGGCATCTGATTGGATAGCCTAAGTCATATGGCTACACCTGTTGACAGAAAGGTAGGCTGCGTTTGGGAGCTTCACACAATCACATGGGAGCAACTGAGGAGCAGCTTCCAAATAATACAAATGATAAGAAGACAAAAAAAAAAAAAAATCAATACAAAGGAATTATCTGGGAAAATGACCCAGATACATGAATAAGAGCAAAGAAATAAATTCATTGAAAGAAGACAAGAGCAAGCAATCAAGCATGTAAGGTAGTAATTCTAGGTGTTCCCATGGAAGAAACCAGGATCACTATTTTCAGATAAGACTATACGCTGTTATATACTATTAAAAGATGAAGTGGATCATCTTGGATATAAGATAAATGTATAAAAATAGTATATAATAGTTATTACTTTGCCCAGTACAAGACAGATAGAACAAAATGATGAAACTTCATTGAGAGATAACATAAAATATTTAAAGAAATAGAAGAATATACCATCTTCTAGGAAAAGACTGAAATATTGTTAAATGTCAATTTTCTTAAGTCATTGTATAGGATTAGTGTAATACCCATTAAATTTACAGTTGTTTCCTTTGTGGAATTATTCTAATGTTTATTACTGAGAGTATATAGTTAAAAATAAGAAAATAGTTGATATAGAAGAGTAGGAAAAAAAACTTAGTTTAATGGATATATAGCTGTTTGAAAAATTGCATATAGCTATACATCTAAGAAATGTATGAGTGAGGCAATGAAGGTTAAATTTTCAATATGCCGCATAATAGACTAAAATGAAGACCATTATTATTATTTTTTCCTCCTCTGTCCATCATTCTTTCTTCTCTTCTTCCTCCATCTTTCTTCTTTTTTCCTTCTCATTTTTTGCTTCTGTTCCTCCTCCTTGTATGCTTGCTGCTATGCTCTGAGGATAGAGTAGGGAGCAAAATATTACGGGACATAACGTAAAATCAATGACTCTCAGCCCTCTTGAGTTGATGATTTTCAGAAATCTCTTCCTTTCTCTCCTTATTCAAAACAATATTATACCAAACAGTAGTGTTATGAGAAGACTGAAGAATGAAGGCCAACCCACTGTTCCAACAGGGTTAGTATTTAGGGGTTGAATCTATTTAGGAACTAGAAATACACACACACACACACACACACACACACACACACACACACACTTTGGCCTCAAGTCTCTTTTCTGCTGAATTCTTTTCTTTAAATTTAATTTTTGATTCTTCCTGGGTTTTGGTGAGCCTTAAAATGGGGCAGATATGTATCGAGAAATGTCAAATGAGCTTCCCTCAAACCTAGCAACGGGTAAGGTGTAGGAAGATGAATCATCTGCTCAGAAACCACGTTGCCATATCACATATGTTCAGACATCCCTGCAGAGAGTGACATCAGGAGCTTGCTACTCTTGAATGTTCCCCAACATAAAGCCCCCCTATTTTATGGTCTGTCCCCGAGGAGTGATATTCCCAAAGATCCAACTAGTGATCAGTCTCCTGTGCTTTTCTCCTGTGTGGCTCCATGGTGTCCTCTTGTTTGAATGCACAGCTCATGTCAATCTTAATATTTGTTTTGAGTCACATATGCCGGCCTCTAATTTGCAATTTACATGGATGATGGGGCCCTATTCAGAGTCCTGCTCCTGCTGTCTTTGTGCGGTTCACCTCTCTTCACGCGGGCATCAGGCTGAACAGCATATAATTAGGTAACCCATGTAAAGCTTAGATTTCTAAAAGGTTGCAGTTCTTTTCAAAATGTAAGGGTTTCCATTTTTACCCTCATTCTTTTCTAAACAAAAAGACATTTCCCCCCTGTGGTTTTCATATGAATGTAGTAACTTAGAAACAGTTAGTCTTGTAGGTGGGTAATAATTTTGGTTTGTTTTCACCTGAGAGCCGGTTTTTATTTACACAGTTTGTATTTAACTCAGTGTAGGCTGAGATTGATTTGTCATCATTTGTGGATGAGTGTGCTGCTTTTTGAAGCCAATGAAATTGGCCTATTTAAAAATCTTGCCTAAAGATTTAAAAATCTGCCCAACAAAATAACTTGGTTTCCAGCTTATTTTTAGGCTCCTTTTACTAGCTGTACGCACCAAACCTACCTGAAATAACTTGTTAAAGTAAAACCTATGAAAATATAAATACTAAAGAAAACAGATGTTCTTGCTGAAATTATACTAATTGTGTTTAAGTTGTGCTTACTTGTCAGACAGATTCATGATTATAAATGTAGTTTAAAAAATAGTCTTGGTGGTTGGGTATGGTGGCTTATGCTTATTAATCTCAGCACTCTGGGAGTCTGAGGTGGGAGAATTGCTTGAGCCCAGGAGTTTGAGACCAGCCTAGGCAACATAGTGAGACCTCATTTTTACCAAAAAAAAAAAAAAGGTTTAGTGGAGTGTGCCTGTAGTTCCAGCTGCTTGGGAGGCTGAAGTGGAAGGATCACCTCAGCCTAGGAGGTCGTAGGTGCAGTGAGCCATGATTGTGCCACTGCACTCCAGCCTAGGCGACAGAGACCCTGACTCACAAACAGACAAAGTCTTGATGATGAAGCAAATGTAAACTCATAAAAGAGTAGGTAGAAATTTATATAAATGTTTCACTGAAATAAAATAATATAATGCAAAGGAAGCCCATGGATGTATTATTGCATCATCACTTCTGAACCTGATCTTATTTTGAAAAAAGAAAGTGTGAATTTTTCTAGTTCTGCAAGGTTGAAAGGAAAGTAACAAGGTGCATCAATATTACCCAGAACATGGGTTCATAGTGATGAACTGGGGAATTTAAGTCATATTCTTGGGCCTCTTATACTGAAGCTGTGTTGTAGAGGATTTTAGAGACACCTCGGGGATCTAGGTTTCTAGAATCTAGCACCCCAAATGATGCTATTGCAGACAGTTTGCAGGTGACATTAGAAATATGTGTTTTGTAAAAATGTAATTAATTGTTCATTTTGTATAGATGTCCTGTGGTACATTTTTGTGTTCTACCTTTCTATGCTCTGAAAAAGTGAAGGTGGACTTTAAAAATGCCCATTACCATACACTTTGCGTTTCAACTTTAGTAGAATACATTATAATAATCAGCTGGTCCTTGGGGATATGGCCAAATGGAAACACACCTGGTAAATATTTCTTCAGCTCATGACATAGCTTGAGAAATAGATAAATGAACAGACTGGTGAGGTGCTGACCATCAGATATCATACCAGTTCGATTCTGGTCTCTCCTCTCATTTGTCAGTCAAGTTCATCTAAATGACTAATGTGATCTAAAGGACATTTGACACAATTTATATATTTTTCTCTTTAAATCTCTACTTTCTATGCTTTGACTTGTGTCTAACATGTATTCAGAGGGCGAATATTCCTTAATGTAATTGTTTTTATTTTGAGAGGATTCAGTTCATTGCAATGAAACTTACTGGGTGATAAAAACAATCAGTACCTATGACTAGGTCTCCTAGGCATGAGCATCTGAAGAGTTCAGCATTTGGAAGGAGAGAATGAGCTAGATGAAAGGTCAAAGGCTGGAAAGTTACGTAGCTTGCTGCCCTCCCTCCCCAAAAAAGTGATTTTCAATATTTTTGCACTTATGCTGCCTCCACTGGTGGTTGAGTCTGTGTTGGTTAAATTGAAGACCTTGAAGATATTCTGTATGTAAATATAAACATACATGCTTAGACACAAAGACATACTCATAGGGTAGTGTACATAAAATCCTTTAAGCCTGATTTTATGACCTGTTCTTAGTCTTATATTTCTTAGTACAAATTTATCACAAATATGTTAATGTCAGTGAGACATAGTATAGTATAAAGAGTTAATATAGCTATACAAATAAATGTGCAAAAAAAAAAATCTATCAATAGACTCTGTAAGCTATCATGGCAAGGATAAATAATGTTATGGACCTGAAGGCTAGTAACTATATGAAATTACTAATTGTTTTCTTTTTTTCAACCCAAACTGTCTCTGATCAGATTTCTTATAGAAAAGATATACAGGACACCCACACGTATAGCGCGGAGCTCGACAGACCGGATATCAAGATGGCAACTCAGATCTCCAAGATCATAAGCAATGTAATTTCTCTCTCTAATCTTGAGCAGAAATCATTTCTTATTTTTGAGGTTGCAAACCACAGCTTTGACAATTGGATGGTTAATTTAATTAGTGTAATTAATCAGAATTAATGACATCTCAATTTTTTCCCTAAATTGTCCATCTTGTTATGTTAATTATTTGGATGTACACAGAAACAGTCCAAGCTCAACTTGACTATAGCTAGTATAACCATACTTTTAGAGAAATGAAGACTACTTGGTATAAGTTCGCATTAAGGTGTCTCAGCTGGAAAGTCAAGATTGTCAGTCATCTGGTCCCATATAGTCTCTTACCTCATCCTGCTCCAAAGACCTTTGCTTCACCTTCTTGCTGTCTTGCTGCAGATTCTCTGCCATCAACATGCAGCTTTGTATACTTCCTATATGGCATGGCTGTTTCATATCTTCTCTAAGATGCCCTCCGTATATACCATGTTACTAAACATACAACAAACCCTGGTTAAAAGTGATGATTTAACTTGAACCAAATATTTGAATAACAGGCTAAACTCACCCTAAAAATCGATAATTACTAAATTCAACTGCATGTCAATCAAACAATGTCAGACTAGTTCCTGAGAAAAAACAAAACCATAAAAGCTACCTATATGCAGTATGCAGGGTCACAATTATCCAGAAGTGTCTCCTAATATTTTGTTTCAGTATATTTAAATATAATGAGATGACTAGGTTCTTAGCCTCAAAATTAGGAATTATTTTACTGTAAAAAGTTGAGTTTACTTAAATAACCACATGATAAAATCAATTGCTATCTCAGCAGCCTACATTTGAGTATTTTATGTATTATAAGGAATATTTTTTTAATGGACTGAGAATCTGTTATATTTTATTTTGGCTAATGACAATGTAATTCTTCATTGGAAAG